CATGGAGGATGCAGTCAGGCATATCTACTGGGATAGACCCTGAAGAAGGATGTATATGATCTGGCTGGGTGGGGAAGTTGGATCAAAAAATTTAATTTAATCTTGAATTATTTTCTCTTCAAGTTACATTGATAACATTATGCTAATGGCATCTAGCAACATCTCTTGACTTAATGTTAAGACACCTGTCAGAGACTGGAAAATAAATCCAATTGAAAAGTCATTTCTATTTTCATGAAATTTCAGCGAATCCAGGGATAATGGGACATATTGGGATAAACTGTTACATCTGGCCCTTCCCATAATTAAGAGGTACTATGGTCATTGGAAGTATTTAGATCACCAAGGCAACACATTCTTTACTTGAATGTGTTACTCTTGCCAATTAATTAATTTACCTAAAACTGCTAGTTTTCAATAGATACCAGAATAGTAAACTTTTAAAGCTTGACTTATGTTTTATCCACTGGTAGTATAGCAAAGTCAAAATTAAATGTAGTAGTTGAGAGCCTTGTACAGAAAAATGTGTACATTTAGATAGGTAAGAATGACACAGAATATAAGTAAATCCAATCTTAAAAGCAGAAATTGGGCCACAAAACTAACATTCTTTTAAAATGCACTATAATATTTTTCTGTTTGTTATACAAGCATTTGCTGTAGAAATGATTATGGAAGTAACTATGAATTAAAATAAAAAGTCAGCATAGATGTTTTAAACTAATGCCAAATGGAGAAGAAATAAAATTTCTGACAACATGAAAATGAAAAATGAGTTAATATACAGACACAACAAAATTTGAAAGACCACTTGAAGTGATGTGAAAAAATAACAACAGAAATGCCAGGTGTGCATTACTGAATAAAGATTGTGAATCAATGTAAAAATGTAAGCATGGTTTGATATTTTACATACAAGAAATATGTTAATTATAATATACAACAAAATATGTATATATTTCTGGAAATACATTGTACAGAACTAAGTAAGAATCAAAGTATAAGAAATTGCTAATGTTTGTCCTCTATTAATAGAACTATATGAAATTAAAATCACTATATAACAGTAATGTGAAACTCTAAACTTGTCTATAAGAATGTGCAGGGACTAATATTAAATGACAGCCATGAATATTCTTAGCATCTTTGGTTCAAATGAGAAAAACCGAAATAACAGACATACATTTTAATTCAGAAAAAAAATGGGGCCAGACAAAGATCAAGCTTATCAAAATAGGGCTTTGGCATAGATCAAAATATGATACAAATAGATATACAAATACAAATAGATATACATCATATAAATAGATAGACTAATCATTGATTTTTACTTTTGTAACTTTACCTATATTTTAAAACTAAGTTATTTGACTTACAAGAAAAAAAGTGTATATAAAATGAAAGCAAACAAAAAGGAGGTATAGTTTTCATAGAATGATATTAGTAAAAACAGTTTCTAATAACTGGGGGGAAACTTGTGCAGGAAAATGGACATTCATCTAACATGTTAATATAAAATGATACATCTAGGTTGGAACAGTTAATGGCATTTAAAAGACCCCCACCCCTCTTTCTCTCTCGGCTTTTTGAGACAGGGTTTCTATGTGTAGCCGTGGCTATCTTGGAACTAGCTTTGTAGACCAGGCTGGCCTCGAAATCACAACAATCTGCCAGCCTCTGCCTCCCAAGTGCTGGGATTAAAAGTGTGTACTACAACTGCCCAGTAACCTCTACTTTTTAATACTTTTAGGCATTTATCTGAAGCAAACAATACAAGGCTACTACCTAATATATATATATATATATATATATATATATATATATATATGTACGTATGTATGTTCAGGTGTTCTGAGGAAATTTTAGAAACTACTTTTATGTCCAAGGTAAAGAAACACTTAAAAAAATAATGATATGCCTATAGAATTAGCGAGTTTTGAAAAAATATTAAATAGCAAAAAATGTGTTTTATGTGTGTTTATATGTGAGAAATTCCACATAATATATTCAATATAAATATTTAGAATACACATTTAATATTGAATATATTCAGTATTTGATATTTGCTTTAAAATGTACTAATAGGCAGTAAAATAAATGCTTATTTTAAAGCAGTTGGTGTGTTTAATAGTTATGTCATTTTCTAAAAAAAGAACTCTATTTGTAAAATAAAAGAAAAATATCTACAAGTCTCATCAATTACTTATGACTTGAAAATACTAACACAAGAAGAGAAATATGTAATATTTATACTGTTGACAGGCATAAATGTTATGGAAATAGCATTTGATAAAAGTGACTAATGTATATAAGCCAAATAAATATCCCTAGAAGTACTAGAAACACTTAAAAGTACTTTCTTCATAATACTGAGCATACTGGAGCTTCAAAGACTCAAGCCATTGAAAAGTATGGTAGAAATTATACCTCATCCATAAAAAGGAAATTTTAAAACATGTATATTTAATATGTGGAAAGTGTGTGCTACTTGTAAGTATCAATAACATTATTGATACTAGGCTTTTGTAAGTATCAATAATATATGCAATATATTATGTGGAATTTCTCACATATAAACACACATAAAACACATTTTTGCTATTTAATACTTTTTCAAAACTAGCTAATTCTATAGGCATATCATTATTTTTTAAGTGTTTCTTTACCTTGGACATAAAAGTAGTTTCTAAAATTTCCCCAGAACACCTGAACATATATGTTTTTTTTTTCAGGTAGTAGCCTTGTATTGTTTGCTTCAGATAAATGCCTAAAAGTATTAAAAAGTAGAGGTTACTGGGCAGTTGTAGCACACACTTAATATAAAAAGCCTCAAATAGTGAAAATATCTCAAAGTAAAACATATTTCACTTTAGGCTTTTGTAAGTATCAGTTAGTTTTATGCAGATGTTCCACATTTCAAAATTTATGTTGTCAAGTAGTTCAGTAGTTTTTGATTTTGACTTAGTGAGGATACTTTAAGTACTTCTATGAATTTAATAAAGATATATAATTAAATAAATAAAACAAGGTCTCCAATTGCCCTAAAAAATAATAGGTATACAAAAGTGAATGTCATACCCACTCTAGAAAATTGACCAGATGCTTAAAACTTCTGGCACTTGTGTTATTCTGAGAAGAAAATATGACTACCTTGATAGAAGGACACTTACAAAAAGCATTAGACCTCCCTTTATACTTTTTACTTTGGACATTTTATCATTTTACTTTGGACAATATATGATCAGGAAAAATATCTTAAATATAAGGAAAGTTCCTTTGGGTTTCATTTTTAAGAGCATTGATGTAGATAAGGAAAAAAAGGCAAGTGGATAAAAGAGGAGCAGTGAAAATCATAATATTCCAAAATCTGTGTGGAAATATTGATATAGAAGCCTGTATAATCTGAAGCCCATATTTGCCTCATTCATACACTGACACTACACAAGCACAAGAAGTATTTTAAAAGAATATTTAATGACAATGAAGGGAAGTTCAAGAATATCTATACATCTATGTCTATAATCTATATATTTATGCATGAAAAAGCAGATATTGAAATATCATATATTAAATACACATTTATATCACATGAAAAACACTGCGCACATACAGATCAGTACAATTCAAGAAGGCATGGGATTCATTAGCATTGATAGCTGAGAGCGTTCAGTTTCTTCTGTTAAATGGTCTGCTTAGTGATTTTTTTTTCCTGCAACGTAGCTGATTTATTTTTCTGGCAAGAAGGAAAAGGAAAGGAAGCGGGAATGCAGAAAAGGGCGATTAACAGCTTTCAGTTCCAGTGAAATAACGACAGTGAAATACCATTGGCAGCAGCTCATGATGCTGCACGCGCGCCTGCAAGCGCGCCTGCAAGCGCGCAAGCACACACACACACACACACACACACACACACACACACAAACACACGCACAATTACAGTGGACCATGAGACTGTGCAGGGGAGATGGGCATACTCTTTTTTTTTCTAGCTGCACTGGCTGGCTGGCACAAATACAAACTGGCACAAGGCTTATGAAAGGGAGCCTTTTGGCAACACACAGGGAAAGTCATTGAAACGTCTATATGTGAATCCTGCAAGTCCACAGTTAAGGAGAGGCCATCCAGGATGCTAGCCTAGATTTGGCTTGACAAGGAAGGAGTCACTCATCAGGGCACACAGTGTTGGTTTTTAAACACAGGGAAAGAACTAGGCACCTGAATGTCCAACAGTGCGGGAATGATTACAGAAATGTTAAGGTCCATGGATAGATACACAGGAGCACTCTGCAGGCACTGAAGATGATATTCCATAAGCCTGTTGAATAGCATGGAAAGAAGTTCAATGCGTTGATTTGTTTGGTTTTCATCGCTGAAGAAAGCAGGTTAAGAAACACCACATATATGAACCACTCTACAAGAATATGTTAAAGGGGAAGGTGGGTCTGGGGTGAGAGGGGGAGAAAGGGGTAGCAGAGAGCCTGGGAAAAGGGCACACCAAAGAAGGTAAAAGAGGTTCTCTCTGAGTATTAGGATGATGGGAAGCAATTGCACTCTTGGTTCTTTCTCCCACATCAGACTTCCTTCTCCTTCCAGATATTTCTACCAGGAAATTGCATCACCTGTGCAGTAAACAAAGAGACAGAAAACGCTTTTAAGAATCAGACCGACCACGGGGAGAAGAGGCAGCCTTTACCCTCTCAAATGGCACAGATTAGTGGGATTATTGGCAGGGTGGGGGGAGTTGACTGGGGGTGGAGAGAAAGGAGGGAAGGAGAGGATAGAAGAGGGAAGGGGGGCTGAGAGCAGAGAGGGGATGGGGAAGCTAGCTTGCACTGGCTGGCGGGGGGGGGAAGAGAGGGGAGGGAGAGAAGGCAAGAGAGGGGAGGAAGGAAATAGGAAATGGGGAGGGGAAGGGGAGCGGGGAGGGGTGAGGAGGGAGGGAGGGAGGGAGAGGGAGAGAAAAACCTGCACTCCCAATACAATACACTGCTGGTGGGTTGGGGGATTGGGGGGTGGGGGCTGTAAACGGGGTGGGAGCCAAGCTTTGGCTCTACTGGCTGGGTCCTGGGATGTCTTCATCGAAAGGTGGCCTCTTCATCGGAGTCATCGAAATCCTTGAAGTCGGCGCTGGTGGACTGGCGGGCCCAGGCTCCCCTCTCGGCCTCTCTCTCCTTGTGGGACTTGAATCTCCCCACGAAAATCTTGCGGTAGTTGAGGAACATGCCATTCAGCGCATCTATGGCGCGCTCGGCCGACTCCTCCTTCTGGAAGTGCACGAACCCGTAGGCCTTGGGCCCCTTTTCGTCACAGGCCACCTTGCAGGACAGGATGTTGCCAAAGGCCGAGAAGATGTTGTACAGCGCCTTGTTGTCGATGGTCTTGCCCAGGTTCTTGATGAAGACGTTGCCCACTCCGCTCTTGAGGAGCGATGGGTCCCTCTGGGACCACATGATGCGCACCGGCCTGCCATTGATAACGTCAAAGTTCATGGTCTCCAGGGCCCGCTTGGCATCCAGCGGTTGCTGGTAGTTGACATATGCGTAGCCCAGAGAGCGTCGGGTGACCTTGTCCCTGCAAAGGCGGATGGACAGGATGGGCCCGGCTGGGCTGAACTTCTCATACAGCATCGACTCGGTCACCTCGGGATGCAGGTCGCCCACGTAGAGCGAGGCATTGGGATAGTCTGGGTTCCCATCGGAGGAGCCCCCGGCCGCCGCCTCTTCCTCTTCTGCAGCCAAGGCCGCCGCCAGCTCTTCATCCATGTCCACCCTCCCGTAGGAAGGCGACGCAGCGGCCCCCGTGGCCTCCGCCAGGCTGGCCTCCTCCAGGCTGGCCTCCGTGGCTGCCACCGCCGCGGCCGCGCCGGCCGCCCCCGCCTTCTCCCCGGCCAGGGCCGCCGCCTCCACCAGGCTGGCCTCGGCCTCGGCCTCGAACTCGGCCTCCATCTCTGCTTCCACCTCCGCCACGGAGGCCTCCGCCACCGCCTCCGCCACGGTCGCCGCCGCAGCCTCGGCCGCCGCAGCCGCCGCAGCCGCCGCTGCGGCGACCTCCGCCGCCACTGCTGCCGCGGTCGCCAGGGTCACCGCTGCCGCCGGGTCGCTGCCGCGACCTCCCTTCCTGCGAACTGAGGGCACGGAGAGGCGGCGAGAGCCGGTGGGCGCCGGAACCCGGGCCGGGGGCTCGCGCGGGCGCTGCGGACAGGGACCCCGGTCTGGCCGAGCAGGCGGGACCCGGTCACCCGGGGTGGCGAGCACTGGCCGCTAGTGCGCACAGCCCGCTCTCCGCAGCCTGCAGCCGCCGCCGCTGCCGCTCTCTCTGGGCTGGCTGGCGTGCGGGGCGCGGGCGGGAGGGCGGCGTGTGGTGGGGGGCCGGGGGGGGGGGGGGGGGGGGGGTTGGCGTCTGTGGTCCGGGCAGCTGGGAAGGCTTCTGTCTCTTTGGTTCCCCCTGTGGCTGCTGCGGGGCAGCGGGGCTGCGGGGGCGGGGTGAGCTTGGGGTGGGGGTGCCAGTGCGCAGCCTCTGGGGCGCCCACGCGTTGGGGAAGAGGATGCCAGGGACCGGACTGCGCTCTGGACCAGCGGAATTCGGGTTCCATGTCTTCAGCTGGCGCGGGGTGGTGGCGGGGGGGGGGGGGGGGGGGGGGGGACGGGGGTTGCCCCTTCCCCCATAAAGGAAGGTTGCCATGATTCAAGCAAGAACCTTGCAAGGGTGGGTGGGGTGGCCTTGAAGCCAGGGTAGTCCTGCCTGATGGAGCCTAGAAGCAGTGTCTCAACATCCAGGGGGTCTCCAGCCCAGCAAAAAGAGGCAGGCACATACTCATGCACACACACACACACACACACACACACACGCACACGTGGGGGAGGGAGGGAGAAAGGGAGAAAAGCGACAGCATTTCTCTCTCTCACACACACACATACACAGAACACACACACACAGAGCTAGAGAGAAGCAACAGCATTTCTCTCACACACTCACACATACACAGCACACATGCGCAGACACACAAAGGCAACAGCATTTCTCTCTCACACACACTCACACATACACAGCACACACACACACACACACAACAGCAACAGCATTCTCTCTATCTCGTGTGGTGTGTATTTGTGTGTCTCTCTCTCCCTCTCACAACACACACACACACACACACACACGCACTACCTAATGTCACAGCCACCCCTGACACCCAGGAAAGCTTGAGTCTTCCCAGCTCCCCACGCAGCCTGCTGAGCCATTTTCTGAGTCGGCTCCCCCTTCCCACTCCCCACCCCCACTCTGCAACATTTCCAAAAGAGAGAATAAAGAATGTGTGCTCATTCATAACGCCCTGCCACAAATACTCTACATGGAGCCTGTGCCAGTCCCTGGGGATGCAGAGGTCTGGAATACAGAGGAATAGGCGCTGCCTTCAAGCTTCTCCTGGGGAGCACAGAACCTGGACTGGAAATTGCTCCCCACTCCACCCTCAGCCTCTCCATGTCTCTCCCCAGCCCCTGGACTACTGTGGACCTGGGGTTCTGCAGAGCCTCAGCTCCCCCTGCCATGTGGGGAGTGAAAATCAAGAGCACCTAGTCTCTAGGGGAGCCCTCAATGGCAAGTTAAAGCCAACTGGAGGGGGGGCACTGGGAGGGGTGTGCTGGGGGATGGGAGGGGTGCTGAGAAGGGCCTGGCCCAGAGACAGGAGGTGCTATGCCTTTGAGGTGCTGAGGTCCCTGACCAGAACCAGGAAGTGCTCATCCCTGCCCAAGAAGGCAAATGAGACAGGACCTGAAACATCTCTTTAGGGTGAGATGCTGAGTCCCCAGTCAGCAGCTAGTCCTTCTGGCACTGGGGGCTGGGACTGTGGAAAGGCAGTAGTGACTGCTGGTATGTTAATGTGTGGAGAGAGCAATGGGGGCACACAGAGCCAAATGCTGAGGGAGCAGGCAAGCTGGCAGCCTACAGAGTGTGGACCAAAACAGGGACTGGAGTCCCAAGTCCAGAAGGAGGACCAGATGTTGAGAGTTCTGATAGGACTCAAGGGCAGCTGTGCTCAAGAGGGAATGCACAAGTGGGTTGGGAAAGGAAGTGGAACTGCTCCATGCCTAGGCAGGAGGGAAGGAATCCAGGCAGAGGAATCACTGTCTATCTGAGGGTCAGTGGTGCAACAGCACCCACATGGTCACTGGTGCTCATACCACATGACCTAGCTTGGATAGTCTCCAGGGCTATGCATAGAGTGGACGGTAGCTAGGAGACTGTATCAGTGGGCTTGCTCCCAACTCAGCCCATGCAATAAAGGGGTGAAGAGATCAAAACGGCAGAGAGTGATTTGAACATCAGTGCAAATACAAGTGTGGGTTCCCCCACACAAATCTGTGGCACAACATGAAGAAAATGGTCAGACAGAACTAGCTCCAAGAGAGTCAGAACCAACTTGCCCTCTGACTGCACTGCCATTTCAGACATGTGGTCTCGTGTTTACCACAAACCAGTGGCATCATGTGGATATGTTTTAAAAATTGAAATGCCCAAACCATGGTGCCTTTCTTTGAGACTTCTAGACTTCCCTACAGTGACTCAAGGTGCTTCTTTACATTGTACAATTGCCCCCCAGAAGACTGCGTGTTTTCAGGGTTTTTTTTTTTTAGTGAAATTTGATGGAAAACAAAATGTAATAAGTTTGATGTTGACTTCTTCATACAGGATTCCTTATGCCTTGTTCTCCTTCATCATCACCCCTGCCATCTGCCATGCCCAGCACTGCTCCAGCTTATCCCCTTCATTCTCCAGTTAGCCCTTCCCTTTGCTTTGTATTCCTCTAGTCTAGTTCCTGGCTACATTAAGATCTCTTTGCACTCATGACCCTCCTGTTAAGTCTGATCTTCGTCCCTCCTTACTTCCCTCCTTCCTTCCTCCTCCCTCCGTCACTCTCTCTCCCTCTCCCCCCTCCCAGACACACACATACATGCGTGCGCACACATATACACATATATATGCTCTTGCAGGAACACTAGCCCCCCCCCCCCCCCCCCCCCGTTCTATATCTTCGCTGCACGCTTGCTGAAATATGGGTGTTTTTCTGAGTCTGGGTCTCCAGTTGCATCCATTTTCTTGTAAGTATTATGATGTCAATCCTCTTTAGAGCTTCTTTAAATTGCATCCCATGTGTGTGCACACTGCTCTGTTCATGTGCGCATCCCCAGAGGTTCATCTAGCTTTTTCCACGTACAGCCATACCCAAGGATGCAGAAATACCTCTGTGGTGTGTAGATTTAGAGTCTTTGGTGTTTATGACCATGAGTGACAAAGATAGGTCTAATTTGTGAGGAGTCACCATAATCAGTCACATGGTGGTTTTCCAGGTTCACACTCGGCCAGGCAGTGAATAAGTGTTCCCCTTTCCCCATATCCTCATGGCCACTTGTCCTGTTTTTCCTTCAGTGTCCATTCTGACTTGGGTTAGATGGACTATGGGAGGTTTCGTATGTGATTTCCCCCAGATGAGGTTGAACACTGCCTCAAGTATTTATTCGCCATTTGTGCTCAGCATCTCATCAGGTCTGTGTGACCAGACTATGGTGACCACGGAATTTCGCATGCCAGCACAGGGTCCTGCCACCGCAACCCAGTCCACCTTGTGTATACAAGGCTTTCTGTGTGGCTTTCTCTATTGGCAGAAGCTACTCAGGATAGGAGAACATGAACTTGAGAATGAGACCTCGTCCCTGTGGGGTGAGGCAGGACTTTCCATCTCCTCCTGAGAAGCGGGTATGGAGATAGGATTCTTGCCTTGTGGAAAAGCCCAGTTCTCTACACCTAGACAGAACTTGAACCGGTAGAAGCAAAAAGCAGAGAGAGACCTAGGACTTGGGAGTCAGGTGCCATCCCTTCCTTGCCCTCTGGATATGCCCAGCTCTCTGCACCTAGACAGAGCTTGTCCCAACAGAGCGAGGGGCAGGGACCTAGGGCTTGACTGAGCTTGTCCCAGCAGAGGCAAGGGGCAGGGAACCATGGCTTAGGAGTCAGGGGCCATCACCTAGTGGTCTGGGGTGGGATGCTTGCAGGCAGAGGGAACAGACAGATGAGCTGCGCCTCAAGTTTTCAGGTGTCTGTCCACGATGGCCAGGATAGGTAAAGCCATGATTGTTGTGTAGGGCTGGATGATATGATGGCGCCTTGTGCCCATAGCAGAGGATCTGCTCTTCATGGGAGCAGGAGACCTATGAGAAGGGAAATGAACTCCAGACAATCCAGGACCAGGGTTCCACAGGATCCTACTCGGCCTTTGTAGATATGAACACTGACCCAAAGACATCAGTGGCATAGATGGAGAAATGGGTACAGGGAAGTGCCACCAAAGTCTGCACCCTGGTCCTAGAGACAGTCCTTAAAATCCCCAACCACAGTAATATAGTGACCAGTACAGTAACCAGGACAGCAGCTGGAGACTGTCCAGGTCCTTTCTCTGCAGGCTTCATGATGTCCCACATTCAGTTCTGCACATCTTCTGTGTGGAGTTTATCCCACCTGTAATCAGTAGTGTTCAGAATACTAAGCACTGTGATGGGGTAAAGAAAAGAGCCTTGTGGAGTGTTCCTAGAGGGAGGAGGGGGCCTTTCAATGGGACAAAGTGCCAGTGATGCCCCTCATTTTATGATTCACGGGTATTCTTGAAGGGTCAGGCTAGATACCATGTCCCCCTTTCCTGGCTAGGCTGTCGTCCCTGTACTCCGGGAGCTTATTTCACACCGAAAATGTGACAATATAGACTTGTCAGAAAACATGGAAAATGATAAGGAAGAGGTAAAACTCTCAGGGCCATCAAGGAGATGCTTGCTTGCACACTTTTCTAAGATCCAGGAGGCTGTAAAGGAGCACCATGGAGCCCAGGGAAGGCTTCTCTCAAGTCAATGGCCTGCCAGTCTTGCATGGAAAGCCTGCCTAGCAGACAAAGCTATAATGTGCCCAGTCACTGGGGCAGGAGCACCAAGTGGTAATGGAACTTACAGGGTATCTGGAGCTTAGTGTAACAGAGGGGAGACGGAAGGAACTAGGGAGGAGGAGGGCACAGGGGTGGGCAGCTGCCCAGGTCAAGGTCTGGTCTTGTTCAGATGGTGTGGGGAATCAGGAAGATCCCCAAGTCTGGGCAGTGCCCAGAGCCACACTGACTCATTTCTCTCCCTCTGGCTGCTGTGTGTGGGAGGTATTGCTGACGAGAAGGGCAGGAAGATACGCAGATAGAGAAGTTGCTAGGCTCCTGCCACCTGACAGTCTTTCACCCATGAGATTGCAGTATGTTGTTCCAGACTGACGCATGAGT